AGGGTTACAGGCATGAGCCACCGTGCCTGGCCAAGTCTAGAGTTTTATCTGCTGATAAAGCTTCTAGTGTTCACTCACCAAATATTTGTTGTGCATGTGTTAGGGACACATGACAAATGTATACATGTCCTCAAATTTAATAATCAAGATAAGGAAATATACTAATATTGGTAGTACTAGGATGTATGTTAAATGAGGTAAGAGTGAAACAAAAGATGTAGGTCTTAAAAGCATTGTTTTTTAAAAAACTTATTTTTAATAACTTGTATTACAAAAATAATGCTTATTCACTAAACAGATTCTAGGCTATAATGACAAAACAAAGTCACCTAAATTGACTACTTAGAAATGTTTTTTTCTTGTACGTGTGTGTATATTTTTTCTAGTTACAAAAATGGGATTGTTATAAATAAACTTTCTGTAACCTGACTTGTAACATGGAGAACCAGGCTAAGAGAACTGAGGGTGGCTAGGCAGCTGTGAATGGCATATCACAGACCATGGTAGGACAATAGTGGAAAGGATGAATGAGCAAAGTTTAAGGGACAATTAAAGACCCAACTGGAATGGAGTTGATGTGTTGGAGAATCTGAATTTGAGTAGTTAAAGATTATTGGTTCATGGGTAGAAGGCAAATTATTGCCAGAATGGCAGGGCTTTTTTCCTGCCTCTGGCTCTAGTTTGTTTGAAGGTTATTTCAGTGGAAGAATTACCTTGTACACCCAAACCGATGGTCTGGATTCCTGTTTTAACTAGAAATACTAGTGAGCTGCAGGATGTGGAGAAAAGCTTCCTGATATCAGCTAGACAATCATGACCAATCTGTTGAGTATTCTTGTTTCTGGAGGGAATCCTGATGTAACTGAAAAAGTGGTGGATTTAGAAGTTTAAAGTCTCTGATATTTAGTAAGTAGCTGATTTTAGGCCAACCTCCTGGGCTCTCAGGAATACTATTTTGTGTTGCAACTTCCTGCTGGTTGCTTGCTTTTAAGACCTGCAAGTTTATATATTAATCCAAAAAAATTCATAAATTTGGAAGAGCTGCATAAATTCAGTATAGTATTGATACTGATGGCGAAAATGAAATTTTGTTTCAGATGCTTTTTATCAGGTGGCTAGACTGTCTCTTAAAATAATTTGTCATGGTGACTAGTTAATAATACTGTATTGTATTCTTGAAAAATGCTGACAGTGGGTGTTAAATGTTCTCTACACAAAAATGGTAACTGTGAGGTGATACATATTTTAATTAGCTAGACTTAACTATTCCACAATGTGTATATACTCTAAGACATCATGTTGTACATGATAAATACAATTTATCAATTTGAAATAAATATGTTTTGAAAACAAATACGTCTAAATGTAGTTTTGAAGTGTAGATCTTTTTTTTTTTTTTTTTTGAAACGGAGTCTCGCTCTGTTTGCAGGCTGGAGTGCAGTGGCGTGATCTCTGCTCACTGCAACCTCTGCCTCCTGGGTGCAAATGATTCTCCTGCCTCAGCCTCTCCAGTAGCTGGGACTACAGGCGTGTGCCACCATGTGCAGCTAATTTTTGTATTTTTAGTAGAGTCGAGGTTTCACCATGTTGGCCAGGATGGTCTCGATCTCTTGGCCTTGTGATCTACCTGCCTCAGCTGCCCAAAATGCTGGATTACAGGCGTGAGCCACCGCGCCTGGCGTAAAGTGTAGATCTTTTGAAGAACACTTATTTCTTATGTATTTAGCCTTGGGCCTTGAATATTGCTTTTGAAATCTAAAAGCTCGCTCATGGGTAAATAGACTGTATTCTAGCAAGCATTTTTTAAAAAGTAAAATGTACTTATGCCTTCTTTTAAAAAGTGCTTTTATTCTAGAATAAAAGCTTACTGGGGAACTTTTGGTATTAGCATGTGGGAGATAACTTGTGGTTTATGTTGTTTCAGGGAAAAGATGTGTGTAATGTAAAATAGGTAAAATGGCCAATGATCTTTTTAATGGGTGCTTGCCTTATGGATTTGACTTTGGGTATTTTCCATTTTCCATTGGGAGTCTTTTTCTTCTAAAATTCTGCTGTTGCTATTTGTCTTAACCTTGTGTAGCCTTCTACATATATTCTGTTAGCTGAGGCTTTAAAAGGTTTGATCATGGGCCCTTTGTGACTTTAGTCCTGACTCATCTTCCCCGGTTCTCCCTGGGAATGAGTAGATGAGATGAACAGAGGTGTGACTAGCCTTATTATTCCTTTCTAGGAGTCAGTTGGAACATGAGAGAACATTGAGTGAATGCCTTTTTGATCTCCTAGGTTCTCTTACCTCTTTGCCACAGTTCTTGCCCTATGTAGATTTGTGGGCCTTTTTATTTCATCTTGCCATCCCTGAACTTGAATATAGAGTATTAAAAGGGTTGACTGTTGCGTAGCCCTCAACCCACTCTTCTCCTCCTTCCTAATGGTTCCAGACAGAATAAGCCTTTCTACTTCTGGAGGTAATTCGCTTAACCTCAAGAGTCTGGCTGCCTCAAGGGCATTTTGGAAGTATACTGCTTAGGAGTCAGCATTAACTGATTCCTGTCCTCTTTGGACCTGTAATCTTTCCTTGGTGGAGTCTGGGAGCTTCAGACATGATGTCTCTCCGTTATCTTGTCTGCTCAGTGTGTCACCTCACTGCTTCATGTAGTAATAAATGCTGCCTTCACACATGGTCTGGTCCCATACTGCTTAGGGATCTGCTTTAAATTCATAATTTTTTTTAGTGAACAAAGATGAAGTGAGTCATATTATTCTGTGTTAAAATACTATGAGGAAGGTATTTGGTACTAGTCTTTCAGTTCTAAACAGATAATTGGTGAAAGTAGTAAATTGTATGTTCAGCGTCACTCTGTCCCCTCTGTTAACTAGAAAAGCAAGTAGGCATGAAGAAGATGAAAGTATCCAATGGGCTCTCAAATGGTGCCTTAGCCCATGGAAAACTCGATTACCCCATCTATATCCCTTCCCCTAATGTCGGATTAATTCCTAATTATTCTTTAGGTCTCAGTTTAGATGTTAGTTTCTCCAGGCAGTGCCACCTCTCAGTATGTCAAAGCCAGTTTTTCCTTCCAGAATTTGATGATAAAATTCTACTTACATATTGGTGGTATTCAGTCTCTGTATGCAGACACATTCTGGGGCCTCTAAAAACAGGCTCTAATGTACCTTTCTAGCAGTCCTTCCTGCTGTTTGTGTACCCTGGGCTTCAGTGGAATACATTTTCCTTGTATTTTCTGGCTTCCACTCCCTTGTTTATGCCATTCTCCTCCTTTGCTGTACCTTATTCTCTTCACTACTTTAGATGCTAATGACTTCTGGCTGCATGGATGGTTTAGTCCAGTACTGCCTAGGGGGACAGCTTTAAACTCTTTTCCATCTTCAAGGCCCACCTGAAATTTCATTTCATATTCTGTGACATATTTTTGTTTTTCTCTGGCTAACCCCGAGTGGCCTCTTTTCCTTTCTGAGTTGGTGGTTTATTGCCTATGGTTGTCCTTTTGCACCTACTTATTTACTGTTTTGTGACTGTTCTCTTGATTCTCTTGCCTGTGTGTTTGTTTTTTATAGTTAACAGGAACATTAGATCACTGGAGACAGGGATTTTCATCTTCTGTTTCTTTATGTTCTTTACAGTTTATGCCCACAACAAAGTTTCTCAGTAAAAGGTTTATTTGCTCCTCACATTTTACAGTATGAATCCTGGTGAGAGTGTTTTGAGATTTTTTCTTCTTTTTATTTAAAAAATTTCTCCAAGTATCCAATTGTGTTCTGTGTTTTACTGCTTGTATGTAATGGCTGACATGAAGGTATTGGGAAAATCTGTATGCAAGTAGCACAAGAAGCTTAGTAACTACAGGATGTTTTGTGGCCCATGTCAGTACAAATTTCTGAAGATGCAGCATGGAATAAGATTTTAATAGGTGAGGGAAGAGAAGTAACATGGATTGGAGCCAAGTGTTTTACTTGAACAGAACTCTTCCTTCCTTCCTTCCTTCCTTCCTTCCTTCCTTCCTTCCTTCCTTCCTTCCTTCCTTCCTTCCTTCCTTCCTTCCCTCCCTCCCTCCCTCCTTCTTTCCTTCCTTCCTTCCTTCCTTCCTTCCTTCCTTCCTTCCTTCCTTCCTTCCTTCCTTCCTTCCTTCCTTCCTTCCTTCCTTCCTCACTTTCTTGCTTTCTCTCTTTCTCTTTCTCTTTCTCTCTTTCTCTCTCTCTCTCTTTCTCTCTTTCTTTCTCTCTTTTTTTTTTTTGAGATGGAGTCTTGCTGTGTTGCCCAGGCTGGAGTGCAGTGGCGTCATCTCAGCTCACTGCAACCTGCATCTCCTGGGTTCAAGCAATTTTCCTACCTCAGCCTCCCTAGTAGCTGGGATTACAGGCACCCGCCACCACGCCCAGCCAATTTTTGCATTTTTAGTAGACACGGGGTTTCACCACGTTGGCCATGCTGATCTCAAACTCCTGACCTTGGGTTATCTACCTGCCTCGGCTTCCCAAAAGTGCTGGAATTACATGCACGAGCCACCGCGCCTGGCCGAACAGCTCTATTTCTTATAACTAATGCTTCAGGACAATTTTACTTCCGAGGTGTAAATAAAACCCCCAGGAAAAGGAATTGATTTTTTTTTAAAAGTATATATTGGGTGCCATATTTATTCAGAGATTAACTTTATTGTGATCCTCTAGTGGCTTGAGTGAGAAATTGTCTCCTTGTTACGTGGATAGAGAGCTATTTAAGAAAATCTCTTTAATTGATTTATTTCTTAGAATTTAGATCATCTTCTGTGGAACAGCCTGAAAGTCATTAGGAATGATAACTAGTGATGAAAATGATATGAGGTGTTCAGAGTCCTAGTTTTCTGTTATTAGAGATTAAAAGCCAGTCTCTGATATTTAATGATTAGATGAACTGGTTTCCATGTTTATCTATTCATCACACTGTTACAATGTAAAATGCAGATTACATTGATGTGTTAAAGTTTTTGTTTCTTTTTGTTTAGGTACAAAGAGGATGGTGAAGCTTTATTAATTTTGCTTCCCTCAGAAAAAGCTATGGTGCAGCAGCTTCTTCAGAAGAAAGTACCTGTGAAGGAAATCAAGTAAGACCTACTTGTTGTCTTTATGTTTTTAGGAAAATGAAGGCATGAAATTGTTATGCTTAATTATGTGCACCTAATTCCCTCCTCCCCCTAATTTATTCAACTGCCTGGTTTGACTTTTATCAAAAGGCTCTTTTTAGAACAGTTTTAGGTTCACAGGAAAATTGAGAGGAAGATAGAGTTCTCATATAGCCCATTCCCCGAACATGCACAGCCTCTGCCATTATCAACATCCCCCACCAGAGTACACCTGCTACAATTGATGAACCTATGTTGACGTTTTTCACCAAAGTCCATAGTTTACACTAGGGTTCATTCTTGGTGGTGTCCACTCTGTGTGCTTGCACAAATGTGTAATGATGCATATCTGCCATTTTAATATCATACGGCATTTTCACTGCTCTAAAAATCCTGTGCTCTACCTGTTTATTCCTCTCCCCTCCCCCTGAACCTCTGACAACTACTGATCTTTTTAGTGTCTCCATAGGTTTCTTTCCAGAATGTCATATATTATAGTTGGAATTATACGGTACCTAGCCTTTTCATATTGGCTTCTTTCACTTAGTAGTATGCATTTAAGGTTGTTTTGTTTTGACCTTGTTTATATAACCAACTATAGCCTGGTTATAAAAAGGACAGATTTGTATTGATTTTATGCAGATAACCAGATTGCCATAAAAGCTAGTAAGTTGTCTGAATTCTGATGGGTCAGGGAGAATAAGGTGCTATATAAAGAATGTCATTTATAGGTTACTAAATACAGGGTTAAAGATAGATCAGGAAGAGAAAAGATCTTTTCATTCCCTTAATAAAAATATGTAAGATCACATCAGTAATATTAAAACCAAAAAGCCACAATTAGATTCTTGTCAGCAGTTCCCTTAATCCTGCTTAAGTCTTATAGCTAGTGGATATTGGATTAACGTTCAACTTTCAAAGGTCTGAAGGACATCTTTTTTTTTTTTTTTTGAGATGCCCAGACTGGAGTGCAGTGGCATGATCTCGGCTCACTGCAAGCTCCACCACCCGGGTTCACACCATTCTCCTGCCTCAGCCTCCCGAGTAGCTGGGACTATAGGCGCCCACCACCACGCCTGGCTAATTTTTAGTATTTTTAGTAGAGATGAGGTCTCACCATGTCAGCCAGGATGGTCTCGATCTCCTGACCTCGTGATCCACCCTCCTTGGCCTCCCAAAGTATTGGGATTACAGGCGTGAGCCACCACGCCCGACCCTGAAGGACATCATAATTGCTTCCAAGTTCTGGCAGTTATGAGTAAAGCTGCTATAAACATCCATGTGAAGGTTTTTGTGTAGACATAAGTTTTCAACTCCTTTGGATAGATATTACCAAGGAGCATGATTGCTGGGCCAGATGGTAAGAATATATTTCGTTTTCTAAGAAACTGCCAAACTGTCTTCCAAAGTGGTGACACCATTTTGAATTCCTGCCAGCGATGAATGAGAGTTCCTGTTGCTCCACATTCTTGCCAGCATTTGTAGATGAATTCTTTATCAAGATGAGGAAATTGTCCTCTATTCCTAGTTTACTGAGTTAAAAAAAAAAAAAGATCATGAGTGGATATTGGATTTTGTAAAAAAAAAAAAAAAAAAAAAAAAAAAATTTTTTAATCTGATGAGATCATGCGATTTTTTTTTTTTCTTCTTTTTTAGCCTGGTGATGTGATGGAGTACATTAAGGTCTTTTTTTTTTTTTTAAAATGTTAAACTAGCCTTGCATTCCTGGGATAAATGTCACTTGGTTATGATGTATAATTATTTCTGTACCTTGTTGGATTCAATTTGCTAATATTTTGGTTTTATACCTAAGTGTTTCATTTTTGGGAGTGCTAATAATGTAAATAGTATTGCTTTTGATTTCAAATTCTACTTATTTATTGCTGGTAAATTGGTGTTCATAGTATTCTTTCTTTTCTTTCTTTTCTTTCTTTTTTTTTTTTTTTTTTTGACAGAGTCTTGCTCTGTTGCTCAGGCTGGAGTGCAGTCTTACAATCTTGGCTCACTGCAACTGCTACCTCCTGTGTTCAGGCAATTCTCATGCCTCAGCCTTCCAAGAAGCTAGAACTACAGGCATGTGCCACCATGCCTGGCTAAATTTTGTATTTTTAGTAGAAATGGGGTCTTGCCATGTTGGCCAGGCTGGTCTTGAACTCCTGGCCTCAAGCAATCTGCCTGTCTTGGCCTCCCAAATTTGTTCATAGTAGTCTTTTTATCCTTTTGATGTCTGTGGGATTAGTAGTGATGTTCCCTTTTTCATTTGTGATAAAAACAGGAAAGTAATTAACTTTTGTATATTAATCTTCAATCTTGTAGTCTTGCTATAATTGCTTATTAGTCTAGTTTCCTTGTCCATTCTTTTCGATTTCCTACGTAGATGATCATGCATCTGTGAACAAAGCCAGTTTTATTTCTTTCCTAATCAGTATGCCTTTTATTTCGTTTTCTTGTCTTATTGCATTAATTAGGACTTCTAGAATGATGTTGGACAGCAGTGGTGAGAGGGGACATCTTGATCTTAGCAGGAGAGCTTCCAGTTTCTCACCATGAAGTATGATATTAGCAGTAGGTTTTTTTGTATTTGTTGAGGACTTTTGCATCTATCATTATGAGTGATACTGGTCTGTAGTTTTTTCTCCCCTGTAATGTCTGTGTCTGGTTTTGGTATTAAAGTGATATTGGCCTCATAGAATGAGTTAGGAAGTATTCCCTTTGACTCTGTCTTCTGAAAGAGATTATAGGAAATTGGTATTTCTTTCTTAAATGTTTGGTAGAATTTATGGGTGAGCCCATCTGGGCTTGGTGATTTCTGTTTTGGAAGATTATAAATTATTGATTCAATTTCTTAATAGATAGTAGCCTATTGAGAGTGTTTACTTCTTGTAAGATTTTGTCATTCAAGGAATTGGTCCATTTCATCTAGGTTATCAAATATGTGGGCATAGAGGTGTTCATAATCTTTTTATGCTTTTAATGTCCATGGGATTTGTAATGATATTCCTTCTTTCATTTCCAATAATAACTTGTGTCCTTTTGTTTTCTTAGTATGGTTATAGGCTTATGATTTCTTTTAGTTGTTTATTCTTTTTAAAGGACGAGCTCGTGATTTAATTTTTTCCCCCCTATTGATTTCTGTTTTTAATTTCAGTCATTTCTACTCTAGTTCTTATTTCTTCTGCTTGCTTTTGATTTAATTTACCCCTTTTCTGTTTCCCAAGTTGGAACTGTAGATGATTTATTTTTAGGTACTTTCTTTCTAATATAGTCATATGTTACTTAATTATGGGAATAAGTTTGAGAAAGGGATCATTAATTTTATCCTTGTATAAACATCATAGACTACACTTACACAAACCTAGATGGTATAGCTTACTACATACCTAGGCTATATGGTATAGCCTATTGCATTTAGGCTACAAACCTGTACAGCATTAATACTGTACATGCTGTACACTGAATACTGTGGGCAATTTAACACAATGGTAGGTGTGTATCTAAGCATGTCTAAACATAGAAAAGGCACAGTAAAAATACAGTTTTAAAGATAAAAAGCGTACCTGCATAGGGCACTTACCACAGTGCTTGCAGGACTGGAAGTTGCTCTGGGTGTCAGTGAGTGGTGCGTGAATGTGAAGAGTTAGCACATTACTATATACAACTGTAGACTTGGTAAACACCGTACACGTAGGCTACACTAAACTTTTTTCTTCAGTAACCTTAGCTTGCTGTAACTTTTTTTATTTTGCAAACTTTTAGCTTCTTGATTCTTTTGTAGTTACACTTAGCTTAAAGCCCACATCATACAGCTATACAAAAATATTTTCTTTATATCCTTACTCTACAAGCTTTTTTTTGGTTAAAAATACTTGTTTTCCCTTAAAACTTTTTTGTTAAAAATGGAGACACAGACACATGAGCCTAGGCCTACACAGGGTCAGGATCATTAATATCACTGTCTTTCATTTTCACATCGCCCCACTAGAAGGCTTTCAGGGCCAATAACACACATGGAGCTGTCATCATTTATGATAATGCCTCCTTCTGCAGTACTTCCTGAAGGACCTGCCTGAGGGTGTTTTTATAAGTAGAAGGAAAATACTGTAAAATAGTAAAGTATAGTGAATAAATCAGTAATAGTTGTGTTATCATTTTCAAGTATTATGTACCATGTGTAATTGTAAGTGCCATACTTTTATACGTCTGGCAGTGCAGTGTGTTTGCCTACACCAGCATCACCATAAACATGTGAATAATGTATTGCCCCATAGTGTTAGGATGGCTGTGACATCACTAGGTGATAGAAATTTTTCAGCTTCATTGGCACACTGCAGCCTCAGTCTCCCAGGCTTAAGTGAGCCTCCTGAGTAGCCTGTGCCACCATGCCTGGCTAATTTGTTTTATTGTTAGTAGAGACAAGGTCTCCCTATGTTGCTGAGGCAGATCTCGAACTCCTGAGCTCAAGCAGTCTTCCTGCCTCGGCCTCCCAAAGTGCTAGAATTACAGGTGTGAGCCATTGCTCCTGGCCATCATTACAGTCTTAAGAGACCACTGTTGTATATGCAGTCCATCACTGACTGACACATCATGTGGCCCATGACTGTATATGCATTCAGTGCTATAAATTTCCCTCTTAAGTACTGCTCTTGTTGCATTCCACAAATTTTGCTAAGTTATTTTCATTTTTATTTAATTCAAGAGAAATTTTAAAATACTTTGTTTTGACTTGTGTTATTTAGAGGTATGTTTAATCTCCATGTATTTTAGAATTTTCCAGTTACCTTTCTGCTATTTCTATGTTATGTTATGTTATGTTATGTTATGTTATGTTATGTTATGTTATGACAGAATCTGGCTGTGTCACCCAGGCTGGAGTGCAGTGGCACAATCTTGGCTCACTGCAACCTCCACTTCCTGGGTTCAAGTGGTTCTCCTGCCTCAGCCTCCCGTGTAGCTGGGATTACAGACATGGGCCACCACGCCCAGCTAATTTTTGTATTTTTAGTAGAGATGGGGTTTCGCCATGTTGGCCAGGCTGGTTTCGAACTCCTGACCCCAGGTGATCTGCCCACTTCAGCCTCCCAAAGTACTGAGAATACAGGTGTGAGCCATTGCCTCTGGCCTCTGTTATTTCTAGTTTAATTCCATTGTGATGTGAAAGCAGATATTGTATGATTTATATTCTTTTAATTTTGTTAAGATATGTTTTATGGCCCAGAATGTGTTTTATTTTGGTGAATGTTCCCTGTGAGCTTGAGAAGATGTGTATTATGTTGTTGGATAAAGTAGTCTCTAGATGTCTGTTGTGTCCAGTTGATTGATGGTATTGTTGAGTTCAGCTGTGTTCTTACTGACACTTTCTGCCTGCTGGATTTGTCTATTCCTGATAGAAGGGTGTTGAAGTCTCTAATTATAACAGTGGATTCATCTTTCTGGTTGCAATTTTATCAGTATTTGTCTCACATAGTTTGATGCTCTATTGTTAGGAGCCTATACATTAAGGATTGTAGCCTTTTTGGAGAATTGACTTCTTTATCATTATGTCATGCCATTTTTCCCTGAGAAGTTTCTTGCTTGGAAGTCTGCTCTGACATTAATATAGCTGTTTTTGCTTTCTTTTGATTAGTGTTAGCATGAGATATTTTTATCAAACCACTTTTATTAATTTATGTGTCTTTATAGTGAAAGTTGGTTTATTGTAGACGACATATAGTTGGGTGTTGTTTTTTGATCCACTCTGACAACATCTCTTTTAACTGATGCATTTAGGCTATTGATGTTGAAAGTGATTATTGATATAGTTGGATGAATATCTAATGTATCTGTTACTGTTTTTTGTTTGTTGCCCTGTTATTCTTTCGTCTCCTCTCTTTCTGCCTCTTGTGGTTCTGAGCATTTTAATGATTGTTTTCTCTCCTTAGCATACCAGTTTGTGTTTTTTCGTTTTCACTTTTTTTTTAGTGATTGCTCTAATGTTTTTGCAATATATGTTTACAAGTAATCCAAGCCCATTTTGAAATAATGACATAATGCTACAGCACTTCACAGGTAGTGTGAGTACCTTATAATTCTGATTTATCCCTCCTGTCCCTTGTATCATTGATGTCATTCATTTCACTTATGTAAAGCATACATAAGCGTATACATGTAAATATACATAATTAAACATGCTGGGGCTATTAATTTGAAAAAACTTAGATTAAGAATAAGAAAAATTTTTTTTTACCATCATTTACTCCTTTGATGTGCTCTTCCTTTGTTATGAAGATCTGAGTTTCTGACTTACGTTATTTTTTTTCTCTCTAAATAACTTTTAAACATATTTTGCAAGGCAATTCTACTGGAAATAAATTTTGTCAAATTTTGTTTGTCTGAAAAAGTGTTTCTCTTTCACTTTTGAAGGATAATTTTGTGGGGTACAGAGTTCTAGGCTGGTGGTTTTTCTCTCTCAGCACTTTAAATATTTCATTCTACTCTCTCCTTGCTTGCATGGTATCTGAGAAATCAGGTGTAATTCTTGTCTTTGTTCCTCTATAGGTAAGGTGCCCCCCGCCCACTTCTTTCAGGATTAAAAACATACTTAATTTTCTGTCGTTTGACAATGATATGCCTAGGTATAGTCTCAGTCTCTCTCTTTTTCCCTCTGTCTCTCCCCCTCTCACTTGGGCATTTATCCTGCTTGGAGCTTTCTGAGCTCTTGGATCTGTGGTTTGGTGTCTGACATTAATTTGGGGGAAATTCTGAGTCATTACTGTTTGAAGCATTGCTTCTGTTTCTCTTCTCTTTCTGATATTCCCATCATGCATATGTTCACTTTTTGTGGTTGTTCCATAGTCCTTGAAGTTCTGTTGTGTTGTTTTCAGTCAGGTTTGGAGGTTTTTATCAAGTTCAGAGATTCTTTCCTCAGCTGTGTCCAATCTAGTAATAAACCTATCAAAGGTATTAGTCATTTCTGTTGCAGTTCTTTTTGTTCTCTCGCATTTCTTTTTGGTTCTTTCTTAGGATTTCCATCTCTCTGATTATGTTTCTCATCTGTGCATGCTGCCTGTTCTATCTGTTAGAATCCTTAGCATATGAGTCACTGTTATTTTAAATTACATTTCTGGCCTAATACTTCCAACATCCCTGCCATGTCTGGTTATGATGCTTCCTCTGTCTCTTCAAATTATGTTTCTTGCTTTTAGTATGCCTTGTAATTTTTTTCATGATAGATATGATGTACCAGGTATTATAAAAAGAATTGCTGTAAATAGGCCTTTAGTGATGTTAGTGCTGTGGTGGTAAGGTGTGAGGTGGTGGGGACTGTGGGGGAAGCATTCCTAAGACCTATAGTAGGTCTCAGTCTTTTAGTGAGCCTATGCCTCAGGACTGTGAACTTTACAAATTCTTTTCAGTCTCTGCCTTCCCACTGCCCCAACTTAAGTGGGAAAGGATGGCTAGAGTTGGGCATTTCCCTCCCCCAAGGTCAGTTAGGCTCAGATAAAACCCTAGGAAGCTTGGCTCTCGTTAACAAGGCCCACCCTCAGGAGAAACTAGTTAAGAGCAGAGTGCTCAGGCATATTTCAAAGTGGTTCGTTTTCCCCTTGTTTTGCTGAAAGCATGAGGGAATTTTTCTGACATTTACCATGAGAACTTGGTTGAGCTCCTGGGGTAAAACTCATGTGTGTGGAGCTGCCCTATGAATGGGTCCTCCTGGAGTTTTTACTTCTCAGACTTGTCCACACCGAGCCTCCAGCAGGTTTTATCAATTACAGTTGAGGGTCTCCCACCCAGGCATTGGCTCCCCCTGTTGTTTCTGCTCATGACTCAGCTGAGGTAAGCGGTGACTCCCTGTACTCACCTCTCTCTTTCCTGTGTAGGGGACTCTGGTTTGTCCTGTGTCCTCCATCTTTATCATGGATAAAAGAAGAGTTGTTGATTTCTTTTTTTTCCAGTCTGTTCAACTTTTTACTTGTTGTTATGATAGAGTGATGACTTCCAAGCTCCATCCATAGGGTACTGAATATCAGAAGTCTGACTCTTTTTTTTTTTTAAGTCTTAAATGGCCTTTTCTGAAGACTATTAGTGGAGAAAATGAGATGGAGAACTTGTTAACTTCAGGAGCACTGCTGATTGAAAGAATTAAACCTCTTGTATGGAATTACTTTTGGGGTTGTCTATCCATCTCAGAGAGTTGTGCTGTCCTGTGTCTAAGGATGTGTACATTCAGCATCAGTGGAATCCATCAGAATCTTACTTGTATTGGGGCTGTTGAAACACCCTGGCTTGATTTGCCTAAAAATAATTTGGAGAGCGGTTAGATTCAGGGAGGAGTGTTGAGGATGTAGAAGAGACAAAATTGACTGTGACTTGGTAATTGTTGAAGCTGAGTGAAAGTCTCTACCTTTTCTTTTGTGTATTTTGAAATTTTTTATAATAAAAATAAGTAAAAACAGTCATGGCTGGGCACGGTGGGTCACGCCTGTAATCCCAGCACTTTGGGAGGCTTGAGGCGGGTGGATCACGAGGTCAGGAGATCGAGACCATCCTGGTGAACACGGTCAAACCTCGTCTCTACTAAAAATACAGAAAAATTAGCTGGGCGTGGTGGCGGGTGCCTGTAGTCCCAGCTACCCGGGAGGCTGAAGAATGGTGTGAATCTGGGAGGCGGAGCTTGCAGTGAGCTGAGATGGCACCACTGCACTCCAGCCTGGGCAACAGAGCCAGACTCTGTCTCAAAAAACAAAAGAAAACAAACAAAAAAAACCATACACAATCTTACCTACCACCACCTATCACCATCCTGGCCTGAACAATGTGGGTCAGCCTAAAATCAGGGAAACAGTGAGTTCTCTTGTGAAGCCTAGACCTCTGTAACATTTTTTTTTCTTTTCCTGTAGCTTCTCTGGGCAGAGTTAAATATCATCTCTGTTATAGTATGCCTAATTTCTAAATAAGGAAATCACTGCAGTCTTTGGCTACTTGTTTATTACTTGAAATTGATTTTATGATATTTGACTGAAACAAATATTTATAAAAATGACATTAGGGCTAGGCATGGTGGCTCACACCTGTAACTCAGCACTTTGGGAATCCAAGGCAGAAGGATTGCTTGAGGCCGGGAGTTCTAGACCAGCCAGGGCAAAACAGTGAGACCCTGTCTCTACAAAAGAAAAAACAAACAAACAGACTAGCCAGGCATGTTGGTGCAAGCCTATAGTCCAGCTACTTGAGAAGCTGAGATGGGGGAGGGTCATTTGAGTCCAGGAGTTCAAGATTACAGTGAGCTATGATTTCACCACTACACTCCAGCCTCACTGAGGGAACAGAGTGAGACCTCTTAAAAAAATTAGATTTCATTTATTCCATTTCATATAGAATGGATCTCTCATGGGAGACTACTTTCTATCTGTTAAGTAGCCAATGCTAACTGTGTTGTTAATCCAAGTATCTCACTCAGCATGGGATGTTTAGAGAAACTGTCTGACATGTCATTTCTTTTCTCCTGTGTTATTCATAGTAGTTAAGAGTGTCAAACTTGTGTCTAGTTTAATTTCCATCTAATCTGATTCATAGATGAGAAATAGTTATACAATTAAAAATACTGAGGAAAATAGGAAAATGCTGCCTACTGTTTTTAGTCTCCAACTTTGAGATATCTTATTTTAACTTTCATCTTTTTGTTACAAAGAATCAATCCAGAAAAACTTATAGATGTCTTATTTTAATCTTTATCTTTTTGTTACAAAGAATCAATCCAGAAAAACTTATAGATGTCCAGAAAAAATTGGAATCTTTTCTAGCTCAAGATCAAGATTTAAAAGAAAGAGCTCAACGGGTAAGTCATTTTTCAATTGGATACTTTCACTGAATGGAAAAACCATGAAGTTTATCATTTTCTGCTACTTCTAGGTTGCATGTTTATGCTTCAGATATTCAAGCAGTGTAATTTGCTGATAGATAAGTCTAGCTTTTATATATATATATATATATATATATAATTTTTTTGTTTTTTTTTGGAGACTTAGTCTCACTCTGTAGCCCAAGCTGGAGTGCAGTGGCATGATCTCAGCTCACTACAACCTCTGCCTCCTAGGCTCAAGTGATTCTTGTGCCTCAGCCTCCTGAGTAGCTGGGACTACAGGTGTGTGCCACCACCACACCTGGCTACTTTTTTGTATTTTAGTAGAGACAGGGTTTCTCCATGTTGCCCAGAGTGATCTGGAATTTCTGAACTCAGGTGATCCACCCGCCTCGGCCTCCCAAAGTGCTAGGATTACAGGCATGAGCCACTATGCCTGGCCAGTCTAGCTTATTCTTCAGAATTTTGAAAAATATTTTTTATGTATAGATTGGGAAAAATCATCTTTAGTTTTGTCAAAGACATATGGAAAATCCTCTCAAATGTGATTTTTTGGATGCACAGTGGCCTGATTTCTAATACTTGATAACATTATTAAGTTTTATTTCTTTTGTAAAATTGCTGTAACTCCTGATTGTACTTTCTTGACTGTGAGATTAATATCTTCCTACATTAGACTGAATTTCTAGAAAGCATAGAACTCTAGCGAAATTATCTTTAGGAATGAGATTTTAACCTATGAATATGACTTATGTTCCCTAGTTACGTCTCTGGACTTAAAGATCTTGATTAGCAGATACATAAAGAAGTCAATATTTAGTTTTATTTTTCTTAATTGATAAATCATATTTCTGGTATGTAACATATTTTGAAACAAATATACATTGTGTAATTGCTAAATGAAGCTAACTAGAGTAGGTATTACCTCACATACTTGTGGTGAGAAATCTATTTTAGTTAAACTTTTTTTTTGTTTTTTTTTAAAGTTTTTTAGAATATCCCACAGTAGATTCTTTGGTAAAGGAAGATGTGAAGTTATTTTTCATCGTGCTTTCCAATCTATCTAATCTTTGAATTAACAGATATTTGAGTCCCTATCATTTTCACCTGTCGTTTACTGCTATTTATTGCATTTACAAGATCTTTGCATCTCCCATAGCATATCAACAATGAGCCAGAGAGTAGGAACTCAGAGGTTGGATTCTATTTCAGCAGATAGATGAGGTGGGAGGAAGAAAATAAAGAAGAGTTATAGAAAGCTCACCCTAAGTTGATAGAGTAGCCTGAGCAGAAAAACGTTCAATAGTTAGGCTTTTATATGATGGTTTTGAAACTGTTATTCCTGGCAAAGAAGTAAGTTTGTTTGTGTTTGATACAGAGTTTTGCTTTTGTTGCCCAGGCTGGAGTGCAATGGCAGGATTTCGGCTCACTGCAACCTCCGCCTCCTGGGTTCAGGTGATTCTCCTGCCTCAGCCTCCTGAGTAGCTGGGATTACAGGCACCTGCCACCATGCCTGGCTAATTTTTTGTATTTTTAGTAGAGACGGGGTTTCACCGTGTTGGCCAGGCTGGTCTCAAAACTCTTGGCCTCAAGTGATCTGCCTGCCTCGGCCTCCCAAAGTGCTGGTATTACAAGCATGAGCCACTGCACCCAGCCATAAGTAAGTTTTATTTAAAGAAGAGATCTTAAATTTTTTGCTAACTTATTTTATATTTTAGCAAATTATCATTGGTGTGCTTAGAATAACATTAATGATGAGGCTAAAATTTGAGTGCTTACTGTGTGCCAGGTACTTAGTTATGACAAAACTGTTTTACATGCATTGTTACCTAGTCTTCCTGACAACCAATGAGGTAGGTGGTATTGATTTGACTGTACAGATGGATAAATGCTAGCTTGAAAATTAAAAAATGTCTAGGATGACTAGGTGCGGTGGCTCACGCCTATAATCCCAGCACTTTGGGAGGCTGAGATGGGTGGATCACTTGAGGCCAGGAGTTTGAGACCAGCCAGGCCAACATGGTGAAACCCTGTCTCTACTAAAAACAACAACAAGAAAATTAGCTGGGTGTAGTGGTGCACGCCTGTAATCCCAGCTACTTGGGTGGCTGAGGCATGACAATTGCTTGAACCCTGGAAGCAGAGGTTGTAGTGAGCCGAGATTGTGCCATTGCACTGCAGCCTGGGCTACAGAGTGAGTTTCTGTCTTAAAAAAAAAAAAAAATTGTCTAGGGTAACAGACCGAAATCCAGGTCTCTTCTAGCTTTCTTGAGACCTACTGTGTTATATCAGTAGAAATTCATTCCAAAATATGAGAGCATCAATTGTAAGCTATACCAAGTTAGACTTCTGTAAGCTTACTTTACCTGAGAACCTTTTCATTAAAGGATCTTCGAACAAATTGTTAATATTCATTTTTCTTAAAAATTTTGGGCATGCAAACGTGTGCATGTTTTTTCTAGCAAACATTCTTCAAACTTGCAGTTAAAATCTTCTAGGAGCTTTGGAAGTAGTACACACATTTAAAAATATTAGATTAATTTTCGTATGTCATGACTTACTGCAGGCCTAGGAGGTCATTCAGTTATCTATCAGAAAATATGAAACATTGGAAAGATGTTGTTTCACTGGTTTGTGCATACAATAGATGAGTCTTCCAGAACACTGATTATAGAAAAGCACGTTGAAATAAATGATGTAGTTTATTGGTTGTCACGCATGGTTTAACAGAATGGCTAACTGTGTTGCCAGCAGCAGCAAGCTATCTAGTTTCATAGAAGTGATTTTCTAGGTTTTGATTATAATCTGGATAGAATAAAAGTGATAAGCAACTGAGGTGGTTGCTTGTAGATGATTGTAGGGGAAAAATTATTTTTAAACTGGTGTCATTCATTGTTTTTTATGCCCATGGAGATAGAAAATGGTTTGGAGATTAGTTGGGTAGAAAGGATTATTGTAAAGCTAGGTAAAATGTGAAGTTTAGGAAGTATGCAAACAGGAACTAAATATACTTTACTAAAGTCAACTTAAAAATAAAATATTACCTAGTTGTGTTTTGTTACCTGTTTATTTGACGAACTGATAAAGGATCAGGACCCTGTTTATATTCTGGTTTTGTAATTCTAGTATGAAGATAGTTTTTTTTTTTTTTCTCCTTTAAACAGGAACAGAAGAAAATATTCCAAGTTAATGATGAATTACTTGAAATCATAAAAAGGAAAAGCTTTAGCAATAAAGTTTTTCCTGACATGGTTTTATTAAATCTCAATATGTAAAATTTTATTTCATTGAAAAACTTACCTTTGACACAACAATAAAAAAATTATCAATAACTAGCACTTGTTACTATATTCTAGAAGATATGCTAGGTATCTACGTGCATTTTTCTAATTTTATCCTCATAACACTCTAAGTAGAAGGTAATGTATCTCTTTTTTGATAGATGAGGATACTGACATGGAGAGAAACAAGAAATTTGCTCAGTAAGAATTTGAGCTCTGAATAGATTCCAAATCTATATTATTCCAAAGCCTATATTTTCCCAATGGTGGACCTTATTGTAATGGAATTATACTAACTTTTAGAGTAGCTTTTTGGAAAGAAGATATTCTGGGTTAGGTTGGCTTTATGAAACCAAATGCAAAGTTTTTTTCTAATATTACAATTCTAAAAAGTAGATTTTCATCTGTGTATGGAATGGAGATATACTGAACTGTTTTGTGGTTTTTCAGTACTACTGAATTTATCCCATTGGTTAATTTTCTTATATTTTAGTCTAAACTCATTTTTAATTGCTATTATATTGTACTTTTCAAACTCTTAATTTACAGTGTTTTGTCTCCTACATACGATCGGTATATCTAATGAAGGATAAAGAAGTATTTGATGTGAGCAAGTTACCTATACCTGAATATGCCCTGTAAGTATTCATAATATAGTTGTAATAGTGAATCCTCAAAGTTAGAGGGAATTAATTAATTAATTAATTTAGAGATGGGATCTTACTATGTTGCCCAGGCTGGTCTCAAACTCCTGGGCTCAAGCAATCCACCCACCTCAACTTCTTGAAGTGCTAGGATTACAGGCGTAAGGCACCACACCCGGCCAGAAAGAATTTGTTTGAAACCTGGTTCTCTGAGATTCTTAGTTTAAACCACTCTGCCTTATGTTAAACGAATCTGTTTGTTAAAGATTCGCAGTGGAAAAGAACAAATCAGCTTGGCAGAAAATTAGTTCAGCGTTCAGTTCTTATTATCAGGGAGCAGTTTGTTATTTGTAAGTATCAGTTCCTTAAAGTGACATTGGCTCTTTCCTATAGTTTGATCTCAAAGGAGATGGAGAGCAACCAATAAGCATTCTTTGAAATCTTTGTGTCTTCTGTAGTTCTCTTGTTCTGTGAAACCCTTGCCTGGATTACCATAGACATTTTGTGCTTTGGATGTGAGTCTCTTTGCTGATTCTTCTTAAGTTAGGTTATTTTCCTCTATTGCTTACTACCTGAATATTCCTCCTATCTTGGTGTTTCTTACAGGTACTAACAGTTACTATGGCAAGATGCCCCTTTTTTGGTAACTGAGGTTACTATTGTATGAAACAGAATGGTTGGTTTTGTTTTGGCTTAGTATTTGAGGGCTTTTTTTGGGGGATGAGACAAGGTCTTACTCTGTCACCCAGGCCGTAGTGCAGTGGTGTGATCATGGCTCACTGTATCCTTGACATCCCAGGCTTGGGTGATCCTCTCATCTCAGCCTCCTGAGTAGCTGGGATTACAGGTGTATACTACCATGTCTGGGTAGTCTTTTTGTATTTTTCGTAGAGACAGGGTTTCGCCATGTTGCCCAGGCTGGTTTCAAACTCCTGGGCTCAAGTGATCCCCCCGCCTCAGCCTTCCAAAGTGCTGGCATTACAGGTATGAGCCACTGCGCCTGGCCAGGTTTTTTGTTTTGTTTTGTTTTGTTTTAACCTTTTGACCTATAAAGGAGGAATGTTTATTCTTCAGTGGGCTCCTACCTGTGGGAGTGGTAAAAACATTGACATAATCTTACGGAAGCACCTTTGAGATAATCATACTTTGAATATCAGCATGAAATTTCACAGACTATGGTGAAATATGTGATTACAAGGCAAGGTCTGTATGTTTGACTTGCTCTTAGGAATTTGAGTGCCTTTACCTTTAAACTGAGTCTAACTACAACATATATCTGAGTGAGCTGCTGTTTTCTATTCTTTGTTAGACTGTATGTTTACCATAACAGGTAATATGTCAGTTATTACATTTTCGAACCTTTTAAATTGCTTTATAGCAGTGTAGGGCTGCCAGCTTTCCATTTAAGTGATAGATGGAAAACCACGTGCCATGGATAACATGTTGTTATTTGCTCATGTTTATATACCAGTTCCTAGTTTTATTATTTCTGAATATGATCTGTAGCTTAGGTTATTAGCTGACTTTTGGCTCCCTGTGAATTTTTGTCCTGGTTTTCTGACTTGACCTACCTGGGATATTAGCAGATAGGAAAGGCACAGGTCTTTAATAGTGTAGGCCATATTTAGGGGACCGTTTGTTGGAATAGATTCCAGTAAATTTTATCTATTGGTAGTTGATGACTTTTGCTTTTTGTGGTGCTTAGAGAAGGCAGAAAATTAACTTTGAGAACAGATTTTAGTATAGTTGAATTTGGTATTTTACTTTTTGTAGATAGTTAGCTGTGTAGTTTCCTTGAGGTGTGTAATTTCCTTTAGAAGCCTTTGATACCTAAAGCAGTGCTATTTAAGATATGTTAAAGGTTTTAAAGTTTTACTAAAGAAACATGTTTTGAATACCTAATATGTGCAAATCATTGTACTATATGTTAAATTGTAGATGTGTAAGAGGTACTGCTACCTTCAAGAAACTCTGTTTTAGTAGCTGAGAGAGACATAAAAATGTAAGTGCAATACATTGAGAGAAATTATCTGGATGAGTTCATGATCCTAACCCTAACAGTGGTGACGGTGATGACATCAAGTTTTCATTAGTTGCCTATATGCCAGGCACTAGTTTTAAGTGCATCACATCTGTCAACTAATTTATTCTTACAACAACCCTGTGAGGTAGGTACTCTTAGCATCCTGTTTTGCAAATGGGAAAGCTCTGGTATAGAAAGATTAAATCATATTCCTGAGATCTCACAGCTAGTAAGTGGAAGCCAGATTTTGAACCTCAGCAGTCTTATTTTTGAATCCATGCTTCTCAACATTACATCTCTCAGTTTCTTTGAACCATGTCAGATAGGAAAAGAGCAGTGGATTCATGTTATGATGTTACTGTTTATTCAGAGCAATCCTTGATAAAATCTAAGATTTTGTTTTTCATCGATCAGTGAGAACTTAATGAAAGCTATTAGCTTTGATCCAAGCTGGGAAAGACATGATATTAAATTGAATATTGATCATTGATGGAGAAAACAAGATTTTTTAATTTCTTTTTTTGGTGTTTGGTTTATAAAATCCATTTTTATAGCAATGATTGTGCCATATTCTGTTTCAGGAAGGGAGATGGGGACCACACTCTAGTTCTTTCTCTGTAGAGAATTGTGTTTTGTCCTTTCATGGTCATGTCTTCTCTGGTTTATTTAGTGCTTAACATTTTATGAGGTACTTTCATGTAGTTAGTTAATTGGATCTTTACAGCAAATGTGAGTTAGGCCTGGCAGGTACTGTTATTTCCATGTTATAAGGAAGCTGAAGCTAAGAGAGTTGAATTGGAAATTGGCGGGTCTAGTACTTGAACTGTTATCTTGTTTCTGGTTCAGTGCTCTTTGTCTTATTCCATGTTACCCTCTTAAAGAAAAAACAGTGTCTAAAATGTTTTCTGACAGGTGTTCAGTGTATTTTGCCTTACTTTTTGTATCAACTAACCTGTTAGTATTGAGTTGTATCTCACAGGAACATTTTCTTTAAAAAAGCTCTAGAAATCTCTGCTCTTGAGAAACTCTTCTATGATACCTATAAACATATCAGTGTTGAGATGACTGTTTTCACATTTTTCCATATTTAAGGTCTCTTGGTCTTGCTGTGGCACCACGCATAAGATTTCTTCAGAAAATGCAGAAACAACCCACCAAAGAATTGGTAATGAGCCAAGCTGATAAAGTAATTGAGCCAAGGGCTCCCTCCCTCACCAATGACGAAGTGGAAGAATTTAGAGCCTACTTCAATGAGAAAATGTCCATCCTTCAGAAAGGTGGAAAAAGACTCGAAGGGACAGAGCACAGACTGGATAATGATACTGATGATGAAGAACAGGACGAAGAGGAAGACGATGAAGAAGAAATGGAAGAGAAGCTGGCAAAAGCAAAAGGATCTCAAGCTCCATCTCTTCCTAACACCAGTGAAGCACAGAAGATCAAGGAAGTTCCTACGCAGTTCCTGGACAGAGATGAGGAGGAAGAAGATGCTGATTTCTTGAAGGTGAAACGGCACAATGTGTTTGGATTGGACCTTAAAGAGGAGAAAACATTACAGGTAAGTTTATTCCCAATGGAGGGTCTTCTATTACATTGTCTTACTGTGTGCTTATTGTTGCCTTTTGGGGACTGAGAGAAAGTGAAAACTAAGAGAAACTGAGGCCGGGTTTCTTTGCAATGAACTCTTCCTCCTTTCCCCCATATTTAAGCACAGAGTAAGTGCCAGTGAATTTTTCATATTTTTCATAACTTTGGGAGCTCTAAGAGGTTAACAACTTTAATCTTATTTACTGGTTTTCTGATGCTGTGTTTTAAAAGCTGCCAAAGTCCCGATTACGTCTCAAAGGAAGGCAATGAAGTTTCTTGGTTTATGGCATGAGGATCCTTCGTTATAATTCTTAAGATACTACTTTCTGAGTAAATTATAAGGAACAGTTGTAATTATTTAAATCTTTCTAAACATAAGTTTTACTCTTAATGTGACATTTGTTTATGGGAACCAAGCCAGTATCTTAAATAGAAATTGAACAGTTCTTTTTTAAAGGCTAGTTATGAATGTTTATGAAAAATTTTCATGTAAATCCTTTGTTTCTCTGTAGCCGTATTCTAGGAGGAACAAAAGAAATAATCCATTTAGATAAAGCACTTGTTTTTTAGGATGCTTTTGTAGGTGCACAGTAAATGGGTTTCCCCTTCTCTCTTATTCCCCTTTCTACTTTCTATGCCTTTAGTCTTGATCATCTTTTTAAAAGGGAATTGAGTAAAAAATGAGCTTGATTCTTACTCTTTATACAATGTTGAATAAAATTTCAAGACTCACAGTAGGAAATACATAATAGATTTTGACTGAAACTTAGAAAAGTGTTTAAGTAACTAAAAATTAAAAACCTAGAAAATGTACTTATTGAACACTTTATATGTGTTATGTGTTAGTCATTTTCTAAGCATTACCTCATTTAGTGCTTGAAATAACTGCAGAGGTCGTTACTACTATCTCATTATACAGGTGACGGAAAAAAAAAAACTGTGGCACAGAAACAATATACAGTAGTGAGGCACACAAGTAGTAAATGGCAAAGCTGGAATTCGAACATAGGTATTTTGACTTTAATTCTCATTGCTGTCGTCCAATAATCCTGTACTGTCTCATCCTGCTTTAAATTAGATCATTTTAAGTCTGTAATAAGTATCAGCAAAGTTAAATACAAGAAATTAGATTTTTGTTTTAAATAATTTAGCCACTGTATTAACTATTATGTATACCACTTTCTAAGAATCATGAACATAACCAAAGCATCAAGTTAAGATGAGAAGGAATGATATAATTTTATAATACCATGAGTTCACATAAGTAGGACATGTGTCTAAGTACTAATAGCTCATCTGGCATTTGAAAAATGTATATAGCAAAATAACTTTTTAAACTTTTAAAAAAGTTTTACTGTATATCACTTATCTAAATTATCCTAACTCTTTAATATTTACAGTTTGAGTTTTGGCAAATGTATGGTGTTGTGTAATTACCACAATTAAGAATAGAACAGCGTCATCACTCCAAAATATTTCTTATTCCCATTGCAATTACTTTACCCTTCACTCAGCCTCTGGCAACCACTGATCTGATTTCTACCCCTGTAGTGTTGCATTTTTCAGAACGATATATAAATAGGATAATACAGTATTTAGCCTTTTGTGTCTGGCTTTTTTCATTTAGCTTAATGTTACTGCATGTATCAGTAGTTTGTTCCTTTTAATTGCTGAGTATTTCATTGTATGGATGTACGATAGGTTTTCTTCAGCTTTAAATTGGCATTGGTTGTTTCCAGTTTTTGGTGATTATGACAAAAGTCATTATAAAAATATATATTTTTATGTAAATAGTTTTCTCATTTCTCGGGAAAACAAGTGGGGTTATTTTCCAGGAATAGAGTTACTGGGAACATATGTTAAGTGTATATTTAACTTTGAGAAACTCCCCAGTTGTTTTCCAAATCAGCTCTTCCAATTTATGTTCCTGCCAGCAGTGGATAGGAGTTCGAGTTGCCTCCCATCGTGCCAGCACATGGTATTGTCAGTCTTTTTAATTTTAGCCATTCTAGTAGACATGTAGTGATACCTTACTGCAGTTTTAATTTGCATTTCCCTAATGACTGAACATCTCTACATGTGCTTATTTGCCATTCATATATCTTCTTTGGTGAAATGTCTTCAAATCTTTTGTCTCTCTTTTGAAATAGTGTTGCCTTAGTAAATTCTAAGAGTCGTCTATATATTCTGAATACATATCCTTAATCAGATATATTTTGCTAATACTTTCTCCCAATCTATGGCTTGTTTTTATTTTAAGTGTCTGGCAAAGAGCAGGTATCTTAAATTTTGAAGTCTGATTTATCACATTTTAGGTAATTTATATAGCATCATATCTGATAAATCTGTGATTGACCCAAAGTCACAGATTTTCTCCTGTGTTTTCATCTAGAGGTTTTACAGTTTTAGCACTTATATTTAGGGCTAGGATCCACTTTGCCTTAATTTTTGTATATAATGCTAAGTAAGGGTCAAGGTACACTTCTTTTGCGTGTGGGTATCCAACTGATTCAGTACCATTTGTTTGGAAAAAACTATGCTTTTTCTATTGAACTACCTTGACTCTTTGAAAGTCAGTTGACCATATATGTGTGGGTCTCTTTGTGGACTCCTATTCTATAGGTCTGTCCTTTGACCAATAACACCAATCTTGATTAGTGTAGTTTTATAGTAAGTCTTAGATCTGTGAGTCTGTCAACTGATAAATATTTTCTTAAAATTGCTTTGGTTATTTTTGGACCATTGCATTTTCATATAAGTTTTTGGATTAGCTAGTTACTTCATATAAAAAGCTTGCCAATGACTTCACTGAGGTTGCATTGAATCTGTAAATCTAACTGGAGAGAATTGACGTTGTAACAATACCTTTTTATTTAGGCCTTCTTTAGTGTCTTTTTAGCATTGCTTTATAACTTTAAGCACATGTAATGTGCACACATTTTGTTAGAGTCATCTCTTACTATTTGATATTTTTTAATGCTATTATAAATGGTATTTTAAAAATTTCAATTTCCAATTATATGTTGCCAGTATATAGAAATAGTTTGTTTTTGTAGACTGATCATTCTAAACTGACCTATTAGTTTCTGTGGCTTTTTGGGAGTTTCTTTGGATTTTTTTGTGTAGCTGATTATGAGATTTGTGAATAAAGATGGTTTCATTTCTTCCTTTATCATCTGTGCGCCTTGTATTTCTTATTTCTTTTTCTTTTGCTTGATTATACCGAGTGTAGGATCTGTAGAATAGAAGTGGTAAAAGTAGATATTGCTGTGTTGTTCCTGATCTTACTGAGGGGGAAGCATTCAGTCTTTTACCATTACATCTGATGTTAGCTGTGGGTTTTTTTGTAAATACCTATGAGGTTAAGAAGCTTCCATCTATTCCTAGCTGACTTAGTGTTTTTATGATAAAATGAATTGTGACTTGTGCCAGATGCTTTTTTTGTAAACATTAAGGTGATGACGTGGTGGTTTTTAGCCTTTTGATTATGGTATATTGATTTCCCCTGCTACATGTTGAATCAAATTTAAATTCCTTTGAAAACTCCATTTAAGCAATATTTCTTTATATTATAGGATTCTATTTGCTAGTATTTTTGTTAAGGATCTTTCTGTTGTTGTGAGGGATACTGGTTTGCAGTTTTCTTTTTTTGTGATGACTGGGAATATGACACATTTTGAAAGCTTTTTGTATATTTTGCCAGCATAGAGGTCATGTTGATCGTTGTCCTACTAGTGTCTGTATTGTTTGAATCTCTTTTTGATTCTAATATGTATATGAATAATTTATATTAATATTAACAATTATTTAGACAGTTAAAATTTCTTTCTTAATTTGTGTATATATAGTTCATACATATTTTTCCCTGTTACGATATTAGTCTGTTTCCTGTTGATTTGTAAGATGCCCTCAAATGGTAAAGTTACTGCCTCTGGCTTTTAACTTTCCTTTGTGTCCCCTGTCACACACAGTTGTTCATTTGCCTGCCTTCTCTACTTTGTTCCAAATTCCTTGAAATATTGTCTTTTTTTTTACTCAAGTAAAAATACTCAGAATTTTATTGCCATATGAATAAATTCAGAATTGTATTCTCACTTTAAACAGGAGGGTTCTTGATTTTATTTTAGAAATCAATTAATAGCTAATTTTAAAATATCCATTACATCCATGATCAAAACAGTAACAATTCATTCTGGTTTCTTTTAAATGTTAACTAAGGTACAGTCTCCTTACCTAACGTCAGTGTCTAAGTTTTCTTGTTTGGACTGTTTTATACTTTCAAGTATAGTTTCCACATTAAGTCTTTTTAGTCATTCCTAGAAAGGACACATAGAAAATATATGTGAAGAGATCAACTATTTCATCCTTCAACTTTAGCGTTCCTATTTGAACAACTACATTTTCATTTTATGCTGTGACAAGGGCATGGTTAAAGATGAGTGAAATCATGACCCTTATGGGTACATTTTAGTAAATGCAAATTTTATTAAATTGGGGGAAAAAAGTCCTAGAAAAATGAAAAAAAAAACCACAAACCCTAAAAGCACACACAGTATACAAGCCCATTTGAAAAATATTTTTAAATTCAAGAGACATGAAATTACTTTGGAAAATTGCTCTAAAAATTTCAAATGCTCATTCTAAGAAAACAACAAGCCCTTTTCCTAACTTAGGTTCCTTTCCTCTCAATCCTGCTCAGACTTAGTATTTCTCACATCCAGGGCACCAGAGATGATGTTCTTCCAAGGTTGAGTGCTCTGTTCTCGAGGGGCAGGGCGGGGGACTCTGCAAGAGTGGTTTCAAGAAAAATTTCCTATAAAATACCCTTTTACCCAGATTATAAAATGCTTACTTTTGGTGAAAAATCTCTAGTAAAACACAGTAAATTACAAATAAAAATAACCTGTAATTTCACCACCTAGAGATAACAACTGTCTTTGCTTTTTTAAGTGTACATATACACATTTGTTC